CTCCTTATTTTCTCTGAACTTCTCCATCAAACCTCTCAATAAATGTATAGCTTCCATAGTAGACCTGCCAGGCATAAATCCAAATTGATTATGAGAAATTTTTGTGATGCGTCTTAACCTATGTTCAATTACCCTCTCCCATAATTTTAAAGTATGACACATCAACTTAATTCCTCTATAATTTGCACACTCTTGTGCATCCCCTTTATTCTTAAAAATGGGGACCAAAATACTCTTCCTCCACTCCTCAGGCATCTTTTTAGTTTTTAAAATAATATTAAAGAGTTTAGTAAGCCAAGAAACTCCCAAATCTCCCAAATATTTCCACACTTCAATTGGGATATCATCAGGTCCTATAGACTTTCCACCCTTGGTTGTCTTTAAAGCCTCCTCAACTTCTTTTTTGCTAATGCGACGGTAAAAATGAAACGTTTTATTATTATTCACGATATTAAAATCACTAAGGTCGATCGTATTTTCAAAAACTTCATTAAAAAGTTTATCAAAGTAACTCACCCACCTATGTTGAATATCTTTTTCTAAAAATAGTACTTTTTGATTTTCATCTTTAATACACTTTACTTGAGTTAAATCTTTACTTTTTTTTCTCTTTGTTTGGCTAGTTTATACATATATTTTTCACTCTCCTTAATATCTAATTTATTATAAAGATCATTAAAAACAGAATTTTTAGCGTCACAGATTGTTTCGCGAGGGACTGTTTCTCGAGGTGTGGAATTGAACAGTATGATGCGGATCGTTAAAAGCAGAATTTTTAGCGTCGCAGAATCTTTTTTGCTAATGCGACGGACTGTTTCGCGAGGGTAATGGAGTAAAAAGTTGGAAGCGGATCGTGGGGATATACCCGAGGTCCTCGTGCAGTATAAAATAAGAAACGCCGTTTGTAGAAACTCTCCTCAAATGTGAGAAACATCAAATAAGAAAACGCCGCCGCACTTATAACTGCCCCAAATGGGCCCTAGGTCTTAAAATCTAGTGTTTTCCTATATTTATGTGCTCATAAGCTGATGAAGCACTTCTGAGGGAGCCAAAATCGGGTGTGGAACTGAACAGTATGATTTCTTTCTGTATTGTCCGTTTGTGAAGTCTAAAAGTGGCAGCTCATATAAAATTTGTATAAACCATAGGGGTCTTTTTTATGTGATGAGTTGATTTCTTCTATGAGCGGATATTCCAATTCTTCCTTGTCTCCAACCTATAGTTAGGTTTTTTTTTTCAATTGAAAAGATGGCTTCTGGACACTTCTCATTACCTTTGAAGAAAAAAAAATTCATGATACTGCAGCACTTATTCAATATTATAAGACTTAACATTTAAAACCTTGATGCGAACTTTGTTTGTTCTTACTGTTAGATCTGAAAACCTATCGGATGACAATGAATGCTTGACTCAACTAATATGCTCTTTGGTGCGCAGCTTAAATTTTGTGGCAAAGAATATCATATTGCTAGACTTATATTTTTTATGTTGGTATGGAAGATGTTTCTCCAACTGTTGCAACTAGTAAACTGTGAGATTGATGCGGGCCTCCTGTACTCAACTGCCCCCCCATGTGACCATGATCCTTCTCTTAATGGCCCTTTTTCACTTATTGTCTCAAGTTTTTGTTCATGTGCAATTTTGGCAGCTTGAGACTAACAACTCTCTTTTGCCATCCTTCCTAGTTCTTTTGGGATTACATTTTATGGTCATGCAGAGCGTGCAAAAACATCGTGTGACCTTATGGCTTCAATTGTAACATCTTGTTTTCTTATCCAGAAGAGAGGAACGAGAAAAAAAAAAGAAGAAACGAGGAATCGGGCAATGAAGAATCGAAGAAGAAGAAACAAACAGTTAAAAGATGTAGAGAGAGAGGTGAAATGAGTGGTTCAGGTAGTCGAAAAGATATTTTCGAGTATAAATTCATGCATAGGGGGGCGGTGGAGGCGAGTCGACTTATCTGGTTAGTGGAACAACGAGTGCAAGTGACGACAGGTGAAAATTAGGGCATCCTGTAGCCGGATGTAGCGACGTCGACAAACGATGAGATCTCTGTTAAGAAAGGAGAAGGAAGAGGGAGGTGAAGTCGACATCGATGCTTGTCAAGCTGCCAAAGAGGGAAAGGGAGGCAGTGTCGTCGAGTGTCAAGCGAGGCAGGAGGCGCGAGAGAAGAGCCCGTACCCTAACCTACGAGCGAAGAAGAAGAGGGGAGGAGGGAGCATCGTAGAGAAGGAGGGAGGTTGAGTTTGTGAGGGTGAAGGACGAGAAACAATTGAGAATAAAAAGAGGAGAGAAGAAGTTCGCGTGCAAAGGAAGAAGAGATCCGTTCAGGTGTTAAGACGGGCCGAGCT